AAAATATTTCTACTACAGTACACCACCAATTTTCCAGCAACTGATGGTCCAGCACTTCCTTTAATCCAGACAAAATTACAAGAGCGCACTTGAAATTCTTGTGACTGCCAGACTAGTTCAATGGGTGGCCACAGATGGCACTGTGTGTGGCATGAACTTTTTGTGACTGGCTTCTTACATTTTAAGTAGGTACATCACTCCCGTGGAAATTTTCTTAAAAATATTAAACTAGGGGATCAAACTGCCTGAATTTTTTCATGAATGTTGCCAAGAATATGTAGTTTAATGAGATACAAATACTTAGTTTAAATTTTTTCTTAACTTTTTTACAACAGGATCTTGATAATAGTGTATGAAAATTCAAAATATAACGTACTTGAAAATAACAATTTTTCTGAAAAAAAATCTAAAAAAATGTTTAATTAAAGTTTTTATTTATGTCAACAGAGAGAATTTAAAGATAGCATCATGTGCCTCTGTCCCGAAAGAGATAATTGTTTACATTTGCAGTTAGTGATGGTGATCCCTCAGTTTTGTACAATTCTTAGCTTATTTTGCTTACATTTAACCCTAGCTATGGCTTCTAAGCAAGGTCCAAGTGACAGCCGTGGTGTCAAGTGTAAACACAAGTCCATAATGATACAAGACATGGTAGAACTGTTCAAACAACTCGACTGTGGTGTTTCTGTGCGGAAACTGTGTGGTACGTGTGGTATTGGCTCGTCAACTGTTTATGATATAAATAAGAAAAGTATAATTAGTGGGTCAGAGGTGTGTTGTTGAATTATTATTATTATGTGACCTCTGTTGGTCTGTCAAAATGGATAATCTGGCAAGATTTGGAACCATGGGTGCCGGAAAATCGATGGTGTACCTGTATTAATTTTTCTGAGAATTTACCGAGTCTGCATCAAAGGTGAATTTCATGATAGGAATGAAAATACTTTCATTTTAAGGTTGCATGTTCATTTTTATAACCTTTAGAGCCTCCTAGAGCTTTTTGTAGGGCAACATTGTAAATATGATTTATAGATCTTTCTAAACATATTGCATACTTGATTCTAGGGTTCTCAGAGACATCATCCAAGCATAATGATAATGGTTGAAAGACATGAAATAAATTGAGTAACACAGTCTTTCCTATTCAGTATTAATTGTGATGTTACAAGTTAATTTTTTATGAAATATGTTTTTGTTTTGTTTTTATATTGACATATAGAAGTAATGCCCCTTGGACAATAAAGCAATAAATCACAGTACAAGCCATTATGCTGTTTCTGGCAAACCATAACATCTGCTCTGAAAAGCACACAAACATATGAAGCTCTTAGTTATATCTCAGTAAAGTACTTAGAGGGAAATTTACATTTTGGCATAGCAACATCTATAGTATAAATAATTTTGCCAAACTCAGAAGACTAAGGGGTAGAAAGAAAAATCTATTTGGCATGCATGTTCACTAGACAAATTTATAATGACATATTAAAACTGGCCAACAAAGTACAAATTTGTAATGAACTTACCAGTATTTTGTCAAATACCGTGACATTTCAGTTATTGTATGCAGGGCTGTATGAAGTTCTTTTGTGATAGTCTGGCTTGAATAACTCACAGAAGCTGGGGGGTTCTGGTAGCACTCTCCTTCAGAAACATTTTGAAAAATTGTTCCACTGAGGTTGAATCTGGTTGGATCTCATAACAAAATTTACAATGCTTTTTGAGTCAAAATCCCAATGGAGATTTCCAACTCACAACGACAGCACACAGAATATTAACTGCATTACAAAGCTATATACAAAGTTATTTAGTTAACAAGAGCATAAATAAAAGCTATGTGCATAGTGGATAAGTTAAAAATATATGTAGTCTACAAATAAACACATAAGGTCTGACCTACAAAACTTACCAAATATCCTAAGCCTATGCTCACTGTTAACAAAAGAATCTTCTACTTCTGTTAAATCTAAAGTCTCAGTTATTGTCTTGTGCACATAGAGAATCATCAAGTGATTCAATCTTTTTTGTCCAATGGTTGCTCACAAGTAGTCTTTAACTTTTATCATTGCTAAAAATGTGTGCTCACTTGTTGCTTTGTTAGCAGATAAAACAAAAATTAGTTTTAGCAATCTTACAACTTCTGAATATTGCACTTTTACAGCAAATGACAGGTTTGTGAGATACTCCTTAACATTACTAAACAAAACCCCACTGTGTTTGTCTTTGAAATTTGCAGAAAACACTTCTAGCTGTTATTTTAGGCTGTAGGAATCAAAGTCTGATTTATAAAAGTCCATGATAACCATCATTTCTTCTTCAACCTTTTTGCCATTTGCTGCTAGTAACAATAACCCATCTAGGTCTTTGTACATTTATTTCATAACCATGTTGCTTCAATCTGGCTGTTATACAATTAATCACTAAATCTAATGCATCAAAATACATCCTTTTGTAGAAAAAAACAAAATGGTAGTGGATGGAAATTCTACTTCTGCAGTTCCTTCTTCATAATGTTTAGGTATTTTCCTGTGCCTTAGCAAAACTGGATCTCCTACATTGAGTTTTGAAGCCAAAGTTGAAACCAGTTCCTAGAAGAGGTCAAAGGAATCATCATTTCTCATCAATTCTAATGTCTTTACTGTCAATGTCATTTTGATGCCATTAAAGGATACAAAGTGATGTTCAATGCCCTTGACACAACCTTTAAAATCTCAAAGTTATTAAAATGTTCTCTAAAAAAAGAGAAGAACTTCCTGAAGACATCAAAAAAGATCTCGCCTCAGACTTGAAACACATTTGCTACCAGAAATCAGATCAAGGATAACTGGTGTTCAGATCCAAATGATGTTCTTGGTGAAAAGATCTTAAAACATGCAGATAACCTCTCAAGAACCATGCAACATAAAAAACCTTTCTGCAGCTAAAGCTCAGTCTACTGCTAATCAAAATGTTATACTTATTGGTGTTTTATCTAGAAGTAATATGTTTTTTTTAAATAACCTGTCCATTCAACCTTGTTTTCGTGAATCTATACATAGTGATGTTTACTATCGTTCTAAATTTACTACATGTATATTCACAAAATTTGGTAAACTTTTAGTTTAATAAACATTTAAAGTCTGTTGTGCAGAAAAAGTCAGATCTTTCATTAAAGTATTTTAACTTAAGTTTTGTCTGTGAAGCTATGAAATCTTTACTGAAACAGACTCTGAATAGCTTTAATGAATTTCAAAAGATTTTTGGTAAAACTTTATACTTTGTCTTTTATTTTTCTCTACCTAAACACTAATTGTAGCAAAATCATCAATGTACAGTAAAATTAAAATTTCAAAAAATATGAAATAAAATGAGCATACCTTTTTATTCTTCTTTGGAGGATTCGTTTTGCTTTATTGTTGGTTTTTTTATCTTCACAGTTTCAATTATTATCATTTTCACACATGGTTTCTCTCATTTTCTAGTTTTATTATTGTAATTTGTACCAACTGATGCAGTAATTCTCTTGCCCAAGGCAATATACCACACCAAAGATCATTAGTCACATTTGTAAACACCATGAGCAAAGTGTGTGACTTGCATGATCTTTGCAAGTGCAAACTTATGTTGGACCTTGTTCTTTTTACCTAAGTTAGTTCTCTGAATAATTTAGCTTCCAATTATGCATTTTAGAACTCAAAAATATATCATGTACTACAAAAGAATGTTCCACAACTACTATTATTTAATTGGCTTTCTAACTAAGCTATAAATAGGTTTAAAATTTCCATTAGCTACTTGGAGCTGAAGAACAACCATTGCACATAGATATCAGTAATAAACTGTCAATAATCTGACTGACATAAAGAAATTACCATAATAAAGCTTATAAATGAGAAAATGCTCTTTCTATTGATTATAAACATGTCTATTAAATAAGGGTACTTGATTCTAAAATATTCCTGCAAGGCTAAAATATATGGGAAGACCTTCATATATGGGTTGAATTTACTTATTAATATCTCAGCAGATGGAAAAGATGGGAGATTTTAATTTTATTTTCTGAATTATATATAATTTATGTTTCCGTTGATTGGGCAGTCAAACACAAATAAGGGAGGAGAAACAACTAAAAATGAGAATTCAAAGATGTGTCACGTGACATAGAAAGGTGAAGAATGAATTTTTTTTTTCTTTTCAATTAAGAAATTAAAACTTAGGTAATATTAAAATTCAAGTTGTAAAGTATGTTTTAGTGCATAAATTGATAAAGTTGTTTAATAAAATTTTGAATTTAACTGCAAAAGATCATGACAAACACAGTTTTACTGAGCCGTGCACATAGGGATAATGTATTTTCCAAGTTCCCAAATCTTAGAACATAATATCAGTAGTAAAAAAGTAACAATACTTTTTGTATAGACTTGCATCTGTTAGAAAACTCTGAACAATTTGTTATAAGGAAATGACATTATGTATGGAAAGTTTATAAAGTTTTTCATAAGTGCACATTCTGCTAGAGAAGTAGAGAAAGATGTCTTTCTTTGTTTTTTCACAGTTTTTTAGTTAATCATTACTGTGAAGTAAGGTAATAGATATACAAGTGGATAAATAAAGTATATGATTTCAGTTTGAACTTATTCTTAATAAATAGCTGAACATCTTAAACTAACATTTCTAATCAACAAAAACTTTATGAACTATTTTAGTTTGTTTTTTTTTCACATATATATCAGGATGCTGTGATGATTGTCAAATTTATTTAAGTATGATAGCTTGAGTATAGAAATTTAAACTCTTTACAACAGTTTTTCACCCTCATGCTAATGAAAGCATGTGGTGACAGTTCAAAATATCGTTTTCAAAGTGCTATAGATTAAAGAGACTACTTGCCTGTAAACATTATATATAAATATTTTTAAGGTTTTCAGTTTTTTTTTATTAAAAATGCTTGAAATGGTAAAAACTATAGTTTTATACTGAAAATACGTTTACTTCTGGGAATGTATGTTTGGAACACTTTTCAGACAATATCATGTGCTGCTCATGGGTGTGATATTCTTGTTGATGATCAGACTGTTATGTAAGTACATTTCTAAAATATTTAATTTTTTTTTTGTTCTTTAGATAGAATATGTGGGAAATTAAAATTCTGTTGTATGGCTGCATTGAATATACTCTTCTCTAGTTGTGCCAGATAAAATGATTATGTTGACTTCTTGGCATATTTGTGATTCTGGTGTAAAGCTATCCTTTTGGCTTTCTATAGATTTAATTCTTACTGATAGTTTTACACTGAGTGTTATATCTTGTTTTTATATGCAATTGTTAATGATTCCACAGATCTTACTGAAACCTTTTGATTTCAAAATTTTAGCTAAATTTCTTTATTGTGTAATCTCTTAAGAACTAATCTGGTTCAGTTCTCTGCATTTTTGTTTAAAGTTAAGTACAAGTGTTATCAGTTTATCTGACACAATACTTAATGAAGCTGAAACTGAATGCTTAAGTAGAAGCTTTAATTTTGTGATAAACTACATCAATATGCAAATAGACTTTGAAAAACTAAGTAGAAACTAATCTCAATATCTAATCTTATGCAAGAAAACAAAGAATACTGAACTGTCTAAACTTTCAAATGTAAGATCTTAAACCTTGATGAATAAAACAGGGAAACATCAGCTCAAAGTTCTTAAAATTATTCATGGTAAAATCCCAACCAAGAACAGATATCATAGAAAACTTTTTAAAAGAATTTCTACCAAATCATAAAGAGTTGTAATAAAAAAATTCTAAGGTTAAAGCATGCTTTTTCACACCCTTATAGGTGCATCCTACCATAAGGGCAAAATTACACTACTGAATTCAAATAATTTATTATAAACATGGTTATTCTTCTGAAACGGTACTACCTCACTCACCCAAAGCTATCTCCACCTTGATTTGCCCTCTAAGCATTGCTAAAATTTTCAACAGTACATCAGTCTATTATACCCCTTCATTTTTGCACCATTGCAGCAAATATTCTGATCTTGTGACTACCTTCCTCCAATCATATTGCACCATCTATACTATCACAGGTAGCTCCCTCTACTATTACAGCTCAATACTCACTTTCTCGATTGGCATTCTAGAATCATGGCCGACCTTGCTTGGTGGCTCGACCAGGACTTGACCATGATGTGGGTTCTCATTCCTCTGCCTCATCCCATGCCCCATCTGTTCGCAGATGCTTCCTTGGTGGGTTTGGGGTCAGTGGTCAGTAGAAGAGGCTACTCTCCATATTCTCATCCTGGAATCTTTGGCAGTTCATAGGGCTCTGTATCATTTCTTCCCATTCCTGCAGGGGAGGGTGGTTATGGTTCATTCTTATAATTCCATTATCATCAGCTTTATCACCAAGCAAGGGGGAACCAAATCCAGATCTCTGGATTTCCTGTACTAGGCCAATAACCATGACATGACGGTTTTGGCATGTCATATTCCTGGAGTTATGAATCTTGTTGTCGACCTCTTATCACATCCCAACCAGGTTCCCCACAGAGTGGTCTCTTCATCCTTAGATATTATTGTGGGTGTGTTCTCAACAGGGAACACCACATATATGTATGTGTTTCCCACTCACTAGAATGCCAAATTTCCTTCCTTTTTGATTTCCAGTTCCTCACCCCTCACCTCTGTGGGTGGATGCTTTCAGTCAAGATTGGAGGGGTTTTCATCTATATGCCTATCCTCTGATCAGACTCCTTTTCTGGGGCTTTCCCTTATCCCGACCACCCCTTGTTGTGTTCTGCTGGTTGCTCCGTATTGGCCGGATCAGACATGATTCCCTCTGCTCTGTCCCTTACTGGAGCAACAGACCCTGCCCTTTTTCCCTATCCTGATTTCAAACTACATCAACAACATTCGCTTCACATTGAAGATGACCAAAACCTCTCCATAAATCTTTTGAATCATAATACCATCAGAAAATTAACTCTGTTTGATATTATATTTGTGGGGAGGCAATGCATTTAGAAACACATGTAGACTAAAAATACACACAACATCCACAGAAATAACATGGAACTCTAAAAATGTATATTTCAAGTTGCACTTGACATATATGTCATTACCCTCCCAACAGTTCAAACAATGAATTAAGGAGAAAATATCTGAGATGTTCATTCAAGAAAATGGTTACCTCCCCAAAAAACATGGTAAAATATTGATCAGTGGAATCAAAGTAATGAAACCATTCAAAATTCAATCTGACAAAAAAACACAAGACAACAAACAAAACTTTATCAACAAAATCGACCCTTTTATTCAAAATGTTGGGGGGATATTAAAATATCTCATCAAAAAAATCACAACGTTAACATAAATTTGTTAATCATACAAAACTTAAGATCAAAATAAAAAAACATCATTGGAGAAATTTATTTCAAACAAAATGAAGCCAAAGAAATAATATATTAAATCAGGTGTAACATTCGTGAATGATTTTATTTGGGTGATACTGAACACAAGAATCAAAGAACTCTTTACAGGATGTCTTATGTTTTTAAACATTAAAAAAAAAATTTAACACTTCATTCCTGAAAACAGCATTAACACTATGAAAATGAAACTAATCTAAACAGAAGAAAAACTGCAAAAGCTTTACTGATCAAAAATTTAAAACATTCTTTGAATAAATAACATAGAACTTCTCTCTATCTTTACTAATTATAATATATATAATTTTGTACTATGTATTTTATGTTCTTAAATGTTTTTATTTTTGTATTGTTTTTTGTAGATAATCTGTTGAAACCTATGATAAATACAACATTTGCACTGCCGAGTATAACCATACACTTTGAATATATATATTTGATAGTAATCATACATATCCTGAAGGTAGCCTGTTCATATTGGCTTAATGTTGCAGTTTTAATTACTTGAAACACTTCACTGTAAAGTTGTTAATTAAATTGAACTTAATTGTGATTTTAGGCTCCTGAGATAATAAGTGACTGGCTATTTTTGCAATACAGGTTAGATCAGATGAAGTATTTGTTTGTCTTCTTTAAATGTTTTTGTTATTACAAGTGGTTCTTTAGTGTTTTTATATTCCTTTCTAAAAATAATGATGTATATTGAACAGATTTTTATTTAATCTACTGTTACAGGAATCTAATCACTGATTCAAAGGTGAAATTAAAATATCAGCATCTAATAACAAATAGTTTTGTGCAGGTAAGAAGTTTTACAAAGAGTATTTATTGTTATTACGTTATTTTGTGGATTAATGAATATAGAAAATGGCTATTAATTTGAATGATTTATTCTTATTTTCTTGTCTAAGGAATTTAAAGTATACATGTATTATTTCCTGCAATAAAAACTTAAAAGTTGGAGTAGTGGGTAATTTGAAAAACAAATTTAAGAGATGCACAGAACTATCTTTAAGTCAGTGGAATAGCTATTCATTTATATTAGAAAACAAATCCAAAAAGCTTGATTATGTATTAAGAGTACATCAGTTCCATGTTTTTCAATGGGAAATTTAATTAAGCAATTTTTGAATTATCAGTAGAGATTGGAAGAATAACATGACATGAACATAAAGTTAACAGTTTTTTTAACTGATATGTCTGTATATTTGGCATGACTATTAAATAGCTCAACTGTGCATGAAAAATGTAAGAAAATATCAAAGAAGCATATCTTAACATCAATTAATGTATATCTTTGGGGGATGTGAAAGGAAGCTGATAGAGTTAACTTTCTGGATTATTTGTTTTTTCTCTAATAATTTAATACAGTGATAAAGCATATTTTAAAATATGTGACTTAATTCTGCATTTACTTTGTGTCCAAAGTCTATTATTTGATTTTGTTTTTAGCCAAAATATGGCTATGGAACAGATGAAAAAGAAATTAATTTAAAATCTTTGTGGTTTTTTTTAATATAAAACTACAGAAAGTGAGGATTAATATGAAGAATACATTAGTATAGTATGAATTAAATTATTAGAGATCAAGATAAAAGTAAACCAGAGATGATTTCTACGAACATTTCAACTACATTTCTTTCAAAAAATTAACTTATTTGGGCTTCATTGTTTTGACCAATCTTGCAACTATCATTTACAAATAACCATTGATTACAAATAATCCAATAGCAAATGTCAGAAAGGTTTATTCACATTTTTTAAAGACAGCATGTCTTAGAATGGGTGTGGCATGTGATTTCAATTTATGGCACATAATTCATTAAAACATGCGGAATAGATGCTTTTCATTTTATCTCGGGGATAGCTAACATATAAATAAGTCCTCAGAAAATTAGTGGTGAAGGTCAACAACAGTTAATTAATACAAACAAGTATTAATTAAAATTAGTGGTGAAAGTCAACAACAGTTGATTAATACAAACAAGTATTAATTAAAATTAGTGGTGAAAGTCAACAACAGTTAATTAATACAAACAAGTATTAATTAAAATTAGTGGTGAAAGTCAACAACAGTTAATTAATACAAACAAGTATTAATTGAAATCAGTGGTGAAAGTCAACAACAGTTGATTAATACAAACAAGTATTAATTATGAAGAGTTAAAATATTCAGTGAAATTATTTTTTTTCTCCAGAATTTAATTTGCTTTTCTATATCGTAAATATTGTGAAAATATGAAAATAATGTAATATTTTGAATTCAGATTATCCTTAATAAGGCTGATCTTTGAAAATATTTATTTTATTATGTCTTAAACCATACATCTGTTTCAGCTAAGAAATAAAAGATGAGAGAAAACCCATAAACCCAAACACTTTTGGAAGGTGGACCTTCTTCCTTCAGTGCATTATATTATTTCTCATGATGCTACATATTTTATTTTAAAGGACGTTTTGTGTGATATTACATGCTTTTCAAGCTTGAGTGTAGTTTTTGGAGTTACATTTTGTGTTCCAAAAACAATGATTAGATGTAGGAATTTTTGATTTTTAGAATAAAATAAGAACCTTGATTTGAATAAGTAATAGTGTTAATAAACATTTTAAACATTATTAAAGTTGTACTAAATAGGTCTGTATCCCATGTAATATGTCATTTTTAATTATTCTTATAATACATTTTTAGTGTAACAGACTATTGCGATGGTGCCCAGCCCCAGATTGTAACCATGTTGTGAAAGTTCAGTTTGTTGATGTTCAGCCTGTGACGTGTGTGTGTGGAAATATTTTCTGGTACGTTTCCATCAGTTGATAAAAATATTGACTTGATCTGTGCAGTGATATCTGTTAAGATTTTATTACTGTTCTCAATTTGAGATAAAAGAAATTGTGGCATTAAATAATATGTGCTGATAATATTTGTTAAAAGTGTTAAGATAGTCTGATGGATTACGTGTGTGACTTTATGCGAATGTATGCAATGTTTGTGATCAAGATTTTTGTCCATTTATACACACACACACACCAACTTGTTATAGACTTGATTAAAATTTGGTAGTGGAAGATTTTAGTAGTTAAGTAGGTGTTTAATTTCAAATTGACAAAGGGTGTAGTTTTAAAGAAAAATATTTAAGTTATAAACTTTAAATTTTTAATAAGATAAGTTTTAGTGAAAGGGTAAAGGATACTGATAGGAAAGTGTTGCTCAGATTGAGAAGTGAAATGTACATAAAAGACATCTATTACATAAAACCCAATTTTCAGCTGTGTTATGACATCAGGATTAGTCAGTTCAATAAATTTATAAAAAGTTATTTTTTTGCTAATTATCTTGAAATCAGTTATGTAGACATACGTACAGAGGAACTTATCAAAGCACAAACAAGTCGCTTGTGAATAAGGAAAGAATGGGTAAAGATTGATAAACTTGAACTTACTGGAAAGAGGTAGTGAGACAAACCAAATTCATTTGATGGCTGATTTATTTTTTTCAAGACCTTACCTCTCCCAGTGGCAAAGTGGTACGTCTTTGGATTTACAATGCTAAAAACCGGGGTTTCTATACCCATGGTGGGCAGAGCACAGATAAGCCCATTGTGTAGCTTTGTGCTTAACTACAAACAAACAAACAAGATCTTACCTGTGGACCAAAATATTTAATGAAAAATGCAGTCTATTAGGTGTATAATCTTAAAAATTAATATGCTGTTTTCAGAAAAAGTTTTGAGAATTGAAGGTGTTTAATAATTAGGTTTAGTAACTTAAAATAGCAATTCATTTTAAAGATTTACTTGATATTTGTGTAAATTAGTTCAGAACTTCATGACATAGTGTAAATGATAATCAAAATATGGCTAAGTTGAGTTCTAGCCAGTTGAATGAGGTAAAGAATGGGCAGATAGCTTCAATAAACTAATACAGTAATGGTAAGGTTAGAGTTTCAGATCTTTACTTAAAGCCCTGTCTTTGTTAATATGATGAATTGAAGTCATCAGCTTTTTCTTTAGAAGAAAAAAAGTTAAAGGGGAAATTTAAGCGAGGATGCCAAAAACTGTCATTCTGACATTATTTGTAACTTTTTTAAACTATGACCCCTTCCTTGAGTGAGATATTAAAAATGTATATTGAATTATTGTTCAACACAAAATATATATATGTCATATTTTATAAGTACCATTAGTGCTAAACATTTTTTCCTTGTGTAGGATCTACTACATATCTGGCCAAAATATTTATTTTTGTGTTTCCTGAAGTTTATCTCTTCTTTCAGTTTGCTTTTGTTTTGATTGTATTTTATTCTGTGTTTAGCCGAATGTACATTGTAAAATGATTGTTAAAAGTTAGGATAAGGAATATGAATTTAAGAATTAAAGACTGTGTGTTTGTGTTAATCAAGCATTCTTTGATTGTTTCTTAATGTAATTTCTAAAAACACTTTTTAAGTAGTGTAGATGTATATTAGGCATTTTACTTACAATGATTTTTATGGAAAATTAAGGTGATTTTGGACATGGAAAGTTGTTGAATAAGTGTGTCAAGGTTACGGAATGAATAACCTAATTTCTGGTTAAGAGTTGAAGTCCCATAAAAAGTTAAGTCATTCTAGGAAGGGTTAAAAATGTTATGACAAAATTGAATGTAGCCATGTGTAAAAGAAAATACTTGTTTATTAAAGAAATTTTATTATTAGATATTATTTCAGCATTCTCTAAATGAGAGCATTAGTGTTGAGCACATTCAAACACTTGTAACACCTAAGAAAAAAAGATTAAATATTTTTCAACAAAATACTGCTAATTTCAACCTATACACTTCAGTACAAGCATAGTTTTATTGATTTTATCAAATCACTTTTTCTCAACCTCGGTTGTCATGGTGTAATGTAATTCCCTACATGTCACACATGGGCAATCATAGGTTAGTAGTCTAAACACGTAATGAAAGCTCTTTCTCTATTCTTTTCAACTCATACAGCTTTCAATTCTATGTATATTTGTATAGTGATAAGAACAAAATGATAAAAGTCCAGCTTGTTGATATATTGCTGGAAGAAAAGATGTTTTTGAATGGCTCCTGCCACAGTGGCAGTCCTAATTTTTTTTTTAAAGTTTGCCAAACTTTTCTAACATTCTATGCAGCCTCTTCTTAAATAGACTAGTGGATTAAAACAAGTAGAACTTTTCCAATTGCATGAAATGTTCTCTAGCCAGAACAGTATAATGTTTTTTAAACTAAAATATATAACATTGAGAATTTTGTCACTTTTCATACAATCTTCAGCTAAGCAATATGAAAAATTATTTTACAAACTAACATAATGGCTGTGGATTATGCTTAACTTTCCTTAACCTAGCCTTACATAATCTAACATGAACATAAGCATTTCACATTTCAAAGTTATCTTTTTTATTCAACACTAATATAAGTTATACTGGGTCAATTTCTTTTCAAGTTGTGGTCAATGAGACAGTCACATAAGTAACATATTGGAATTTGTATGTAGCACAAAGGTCATATACACACAGGACATCTTGGTGAAACTTTCCACATACTAAATTAGGTGTAAATTTATAGGTGTTTATGTAATTTGCAGTATTAACTTGAATTAATTCACTATGTATTTTAATTTTGTATAATATTATATAGGTTTAATATATAACATTAAATTCCTTAAATAGTAATAATTACAATAGCTAAATGTGATAGGCATGCTACATGAAGCTTTACATATGATAATTCTGCTTCAGAGCTTGGAAATTCACTAAGTAGGTCCAATTTTGTCAAGCGTTTTGGGGATAAGGGTGGAAAAGACCACTAACAACGAGGGTACCCAACCAGTGGTAGAACAGCTATAGATCTTTTTATGGTTTACCTGTCACTCATAATTAACTGAAGATTTTTAGCAACTCTTGTGGTAGAAGTTATTATATGATTGCTATGTCATTTTATACTTCATCTAAATTATGATGGTGCAGTGTGATAGGGAAAGAAATGTGTTTTGTGGAACAAGATGAGATAGACTTAGTTAAATCATTTTGTTCTCAACAATATCAAATTTTGCTATGCCAACAATGTTGCTGGGTGAAGCCATTTTACATTGGTCTGTATTGGCCTGTGTAACTGCTTGAATGAACAAAGAAAGGCACCAAAAATAAATGTAAAAGAAGTTTATATGTATATATATATATATATATAATATAAAATATATTTAAAATTTATTAGACATATTAAGTTAAACCTTTGCACTTCACAGGTTGTGATCCCCATTAACAGTGAAAAGGCTCAGGACTATAAATTTTTCCCTTAGATTAGGAGAATTGGATGGATGTGCTTTCTATATTATTAAATGCATCGTATTTTGTGCTTTCCATCAGCAGTAAAAAGGCTCAGAGCTATAAATCTTTCACTCAGATTAAGAATATTGAATTGGGTGCATGTGTATTCTATATTATCAAATGTACTAATTCTAAATCTGGTAGAGAATATGTGAATATATGATTTTGATTATCAGAGTATAGTTGAAACTGTATACATTTTAACATTTATGACAGCAACTTCTAATTTTTTCTTTGCTACTATGTATTTTTAATGTCATAAGCATGCTAAAGCATTTTTTATCACTTATTTTTTTAAGTTTCCAATGTGGAGAAAATTGGCATGATCCAGTTAGGTGCCATTTACTGAGAAAATGGCAAAAGAAATGTGATGATGACAGTGAAACTTCAAACTGGATAGCTGCGAACACCAAGGTATATTAGATAATTGCTACTGATATTCATAATCTAAGCGTCATTGTTACTGTAGTCTAGAAAAATGTGATTTATCTTGGAAGATTCAAGAGTCTTTGTTTATTTCCTGTTTGGGGAAGACTTTGGTTTCTAACATAGGTTTTAATCATGTAACAGCTAATCAAAGAGATGGATGAAGCTCATTGAACTCCTAAAATGAAGTGTTGTATTCATTTATTTTTCATTCTACTGAAAATCATTTTATACAATCAACTATTCTCGAGTTTTATTGTATCTATGAATGTGATCTGGTAATTATAGTTTTATTGTATCTATGAATGTGATCTGGTAATTATAGTTTTATTGTATCTATGAATGTGATCTGGTAATTATAGTTTTATTGTATCTATGAATGTGATCTGGTAATTATAGTTTTATTGTATCTATGAATGTGATCTGGTAATTATTAGTTTTATTGTATCTATGAATGTGATCTGGTAATTA